ATATTGTTAAGTTGCTGTGGGGTTCGAACTTACAATCCTCCTCCTGCCTCGTCCTCCCAAATTGCTGGAATTACAGGCATATGCCCAGCCTTAATTCTCTTCTTAAATGTGGGCTGGATTTAATTGTTCCATTCTAACGATTAAATGTGGTGAAATTGGTGATGGGTGATTCTGAGACCAGGTCACTAGCTCGTAAGAGGCACTGTGCATCCTCTTGGCTCAGATGCTCTAGGACAGAGTTTCTCAGCATAGAAGATCCGTGTTTCAGGCAGGGTTAATCTTACTGCCCTGTCCTRTGCAGTGTGGGATCTTTGGCAGCAACCCTGACTTCTACTCACTCAGAAGTGGAATTGCTGACTAAGAGAACGTATGTGTGTATCCAGACAAGTGTGGACATATCCACAAAGTTGTTTGTTCTGTTTGGGTTTTTAAGGCTTTGGGTGTATTGTATAAATTGCCTCTAAACATCTTTCTATGTTTTTCTTCTTTCGGGGGTTGAATATAAGTGTTCTTTAAAAAAAAACACTTTGCCTATTAGACAAAAATTGCTATGTTGTTCTAATTTGTATTCCTCTTGTTATTGGTGCGTTTGAACATTTTGGAAATGACTTTGGCTTGTTGCATTTCTTTGTGACTTAGCCTGTCTTCCCTTGGGTGGCAACAGTGGTGCCCTCACAGTCCACGCTGCACATTTTGGTGGGAAGAGCTAGGGCGAAACCCTCTGTGCAGGTGCCCAGGGTGTAAAGGTTTTCCACTAGAAATTCTTTTCTTTTTTTTGGTCCTCCATCTAGTTTTACTTTAAACTCTCAGCCAAATTCTCTATAAAGTATTGGCATCCCATCAGCTTTCTTTTTGATAAARGTTAACAGAAAATAATATTTTTGGTATCATGGTCATGTGGGTGGGATCAGGAAAACAGTTAAAGAATAATACGGAAAAAAGAAAGAAGACAAGAAACAGGAGGTAAAGGTACCCCAGGTTGTCCTCATCTTGGTTTTCTTACCTCTGACCTTGTCTAATCTACTTCATTCTCTCTCAACAAGATAACAGTCAGTGAAAGGAAGGAAGGATCTCTGGACACTCACCTGCTATAATTTTGGTAATATGTTCTAGAGCTTTACCATTCCTGAAATCCATTAATCCATTCAGTAAATATTACATAGTAATGCAGTACTTCATAGGCATCCACCATATTTTACTTAGCSGTTTCATTTTGTCGTGCAGCTAGGTGGCCTCTAGGCCACACATGTTGAGGAGTGGGGTTGCTGGGTCCTGGGGTCTATGCATTCTTAATTTCATAAAATTCTTACAGATTGTTTATACCTGTTTACTTCTCCAAAAGCAGTGCCATTTTTTCTAATGTTTGCCTTTCTGATGGATGTAAAATGGCATAACATTATTTTAATTTTCATTCATGTGGATACCTGTGAGTGAACATTTCTATATCTATTAATTTTATCCAATCAAACATTCCATAAGTTCCTGTTATGTTTCAGGACTTGTTCCAGGCACTGAAGAAAGAGCATCCCTTTCAACATGATGGCACTCACCTGTAATCCCAGTGACTTACAAGTTTAAGGCCAGCCTGGGCAACTTAACAAGACCCTCAGCAACTTAGTGAGACCCTGTCTCAAAACAAAATAAAAAGGACTAGGTATGTAGCAATGTAGCTCAGTGGTTATAATTCCATGGTTTCAATTCCAAGACCCAAGAAAAAAGTTGTCTCCTGTGTTAGGGAATGTCACAATGATAGTTTCTCACATTTAGTTTTATTAGCTTTGTAGTTTTACCACTAACACTTAAGACTTTATTCTTTCTTRTGTCTGCCATTTTATGTGGCACAAAGTAGTAATCCAGCTTTATTTTTTCTCTATACAGTGAGCTAGTTTTTCCAACAGAGTCTCCTTTTCTAGAGGTTTCGTCATTTAGCATAGCAGCTCAGCTTGGTGTCTATTCTGGAACTAAGATGAGTCAGAGGTTTGCAAACAGTTGCAGCTAGAAAATGTCTCTGTGAAACCTGAAGCCGGGTGGCTCCAACATGACTGCTTTGCAGGGAGGTTTTGCTTGTGCTGAATGTTATGTGGAGACCCAGGAGCTGAGGTTTGACAGCACTGGACAGGTGCTAGTGGTGATAAATACATTTCCCTAGGGAGGCAGGGCTTGTAGACAGAAGAATTACAAACCAAGAATGTGTCTGAAATCACCACAAATGTTGGAATATTCCCAGAAAGGATATCACATGTCACACATCCAAATTTGCACACTCACCTCTAAAATTTATGCTTTGAAATTTGAACCTAGTTTAATAGCCATCAGGATTCAGTGTAGCTAGAGCGTCAGAAGACCAGGTTCAAATCCCAGCTTGGTCATTCATCATCTGAATGCCCTTGGGCAGAATTACTCCTCTGAGGTCATTACAGGAGATAATTCTCACAAAGCACTTAGCCTTGTGCATGCATATCTTAAGTATTCAATAAACAAGAAGAATGAGAGAGAGGCCTTTAGAAGATAGGCTTTGTGTTCCAAGGAATACAAAGAATGAACAAGCATTGACCTTTTGGAATATATGATCTAAGATAGGGATTAGACAAACTACAAAAATAATACTATTATAGGAGAAAAACTCACATTTTGTTCTAAGAAAGTTACAATGTGTTCAGAGTTCAAATAAAATAATGACATCAATTTGAGGAATGGGGGATGTGGAGAGGGATTTTTAGCTGGAGAAAAGTTTCACAGAAGGAAGTGGCATCAGGAAATGTTTTGATCAATGATGAAGATTCTGGCAGGAGAATCCTAGTTGGGCTGGAGTACAGACAATTAGTGGAGAAAGGCATGGAGTGGTCTTTGGAGCTGTGTCCTAGGACACTTTGAAGGCTAAAATCAGGATTGAACTCAATCTGGCAGATAAGCGCTGTCTTACTCAGGACTATACTTGAGTGTGATTAAATCAGGAATAGTTGTGGAGTGGATGAGAACCAGAGCAGATAGAGGTACCCTGCTGACTTGGGTAGTGACTGCAGTGGTTTGGACAGATGAAGGAGAGGTCTGAGTGGGGTGAGGGCACTGGGAATGACAAGGAAAAAGGCAATGGAAAAGTACTGTTTATTCTCTGCTACTTCACTTTTGGTCACCAAAGCTGGAGGAAAGGGTAGTTCCACAATCAGCAACTTTCCAACTCTCTGTGGACACTAGYTAATTCTAACACCAAGATCATACAAGTTTAAGGACTTAATTTCTCAAGACTTCCTCTACTTTGGAGACCAATCCCAAGTCCAAGCCTCTCCTACTTCTGGCCAATCAGCTATGAACTGGCGTTTCCTATGACTCCCTCCTTAGGTTCTATGATTTGCTAGAACTCAGGGAAACAATTTAATTACATTTTCTGGTTTATTATAAAAGATACATGCTATGGGCCAGATGTGGTGTCACATGCCTGTGGTCCTAGCGGCTCAGGAGGCTGAGGCAGGCAGATCACCAGTTGAAAGCCAGCCTCAGCAACTTAGTGAGTCCCTAAACAACTCAATGTGACACTCTGTCTCTAAATAAAATATAATGGGGTTGTGACTCAGTGGTTAAGCGCCCCTGGGTTCAATTCCTGCTAAATAATAATAATAATAATAATAATAATGATAATAATAATAATAATATAATTGCTATGGTTTGGATACTGTTTGCCCCTCAAATCCTCCATTGACACCATAATTAGTTGAAGACAGGAAACCTATGTGACAAAAAGGTGAGTTCTCTGTTGTGTTAAAATGCATATAGAATCTTTGTAAAGCAAAAAAGTCAGTGTGGCTGGAGGGGACAAGTTTCAGATGAGTCCTGAGAGGTCATGGGGGACAGATGCTACAGAGTGCTCAAGGTTTTTGCAATAGGAGAATCTTGAGCAGAGGACTAGCATGATAGTCTTGGTTACACAAAATCACCCTGACTGATGGCTTGAAGTAGTTTTGTTTTGTTTGTAGTGACAGGAAGGATATAGTTTTCAGTTGTCGAGATGAGGAACTGTGGGGCAAGTACCAGGTTTGAAGAGTGCAGATCTGGGTGAGCTGGGTTGGAGATGTCCATTAGGCACCCAGGAGGAGACACTCGGCAGGCATCACCCAGCCTTCCACCCCCTCCCTTATAATTGTGTGCGTGTGTGTGTGTGTGTGTGTGTGTGTGTGTGTGTGTGTGTTCTAACTGTATAATAGTAGAATTTGCCACCTGCAGGAAGGCTGAGCCAGCCCTCTAGGAGCTTCCTGGCAGAAGTTGTTTGTTCCCAGCAAGGGGTACATTGGAATCATTTGTCCTACTMTAAGGAGGTATGTCAGTAATTACTCCAAGGTGGATATTTGCCATCTGTGGCCTTCAGCAGTTGGATTTGGCTCAGACACAAAGGTGGGGATGTTCAGCTTGAATGTAAGTTTGTAAAGTCATTACATTTGCTGAGGATGTGGAATTTTGGGGCGGGGTAGTGTATACTTCTTAGCTTACAGGGTTGCTATTGTTTTGGGAGGATTAAATAAACACATATRTAAAACACTTGGAATACAAACAGCGCTTAATAGGGAACTGCTATTTTTACTATTAAATTTATGCATAGGAGCTTGTGCCTGGACACTATCCAGTCCAGATAGGTGGGCGCACAATTCGCAGCAACCACACAGTTCAAGGAAGAAGCTATGAGAGGAAGTGGTTGAAATACTTGGCATTTATAGATGTATACGTTGTCAGTTCTATCCTTCTATTTTATAGATGATGAGGCAAAGGCTTAGGGAGGCTAAGCGCAAGTAATTGGTTGCCCGATGGAGCTTCCACAGGGTCTCGCAGGTTTTGGGCACCGCATCTGCCTACTCACCGCCCCGCCCCCCGTTCGAACGCACGTCCTCTCCGGAGCTGGCCCTGGACCGCGCTTCACCGACGCCTAGCGGCCTCTTGAGCCTCAAGTTCCTGGAAGCTGTTGGCCTCGGGCTGGCCGCGCTGTTTGCCAAAGGGGAGGGGAAACGAGATTCCMGTCGGAGCGCGAGGCTGGACAGGACCTCGCCGACAGCCGCGAGAGAAAGAAGGGTGTGGGGCAGGACCCTGGAGCGCGCGCGCAATATTGTGCGCTTTTGAGCTCTTTACGCGCGCGGGACACAAGCGGAATGCTGCACCGCGCGCTCTTTGCAGCAGGTGACTGGAAGAACCAAGAAAAAAGTGTTGAGTGCGGCTGGAGCTGGAGTCCCAGCCCCGCTGCAGCCGGGGGCCACGGCTCGGGGGCGGGGAGTGGGCGGGGCTGGGAAAGTTGAGTCTCAGTCGCGGAGGGCTGGGCTCGGCTCGGGAGCGCCCGCCGCAGAAACCGTAAAAGGCTGGAGCGGGCGGAGTGGGTGTGGCTCTGCCTGCGAGATCGGAGCCCCAGTCCAGGTTCTCGTCGTCTCCCGCGGCCGCAGCCTCTCAGTCATGGGCTCCGTCTGGTCAGCCCTGCTGGTCGGAGGGGGTCTGGCAGGAGCGCTTTTCGTTTGGCTGCTGCGGGGCGACCCCGGGGACAACGGGAAGGACGGGGGCACCGAGCAGCATAAGGACGCCGATATTGCGGCTCCTGGAAGCGATCAGGGTGCTGGCAGCGGTGGATTGAGCCCCGGACCTTACAAGCAGGAGGTGGTCATCAAACCAGGTATTATTGTTTTCCTCTGCGCGTCTCCAGGGCTTGTCTACCAGGTGTTGTGAAGTTCATCAAGGGAGGGAAGAAACCCACTTGAAGCTTTACTAGCGGCCGATCTCGGCAGAGGAGCTTTCCCTGCAAGGGCCTGGACCCTTCCCACGTCGCCTTTCTCCAAGGCCCAAACACGTTTCTCACCCTCCAAGGAAGTCTTGGAGATACCCTACCGGATCCTCCCAGGGCCGCGCCCCGCCGAGTCTTTGCTCTCGGCGCCCGCCCAAGAGCCCGGGTCGTGGCCGCTCCTTCGCGGACTGGCCCATCAGCTTGACGGCGCTTGGTGCGGTGCGGGTGGCTGCTGTTGCGTTGCCGTTTCCCGGCTTTTCCGAAAGGCAGTCTTAGATTTGGGGGGCATCCCACAACCCTATTCAATTTCTGGCCGAGCAGGGACTTTTTCTGAGTCCAGTCCCATAGCCCCACGCCCTCTCACCCCACACTAGAGATGCGCCGTGAGCCCCTCCTGCTATCTGGACGCTTCTACAGGRAGGCAAAGTTCAGCTTGGATTCCAGCCAGGAACGCTGCAGCTGAAGCCCTGAGCCCATTTCAGAATTACCAACCCTCACACGCGGCCCTCTAGAACAGCGGAGGGTGATCTAATAATCCTCCTCGGGAAGGCACACTTAACAGGGGACCCAACTCTGATGAGTAGATTCTACATCTAGGTTCAAACCTATGTGTTTTAGAGAAGATAGTCAAAGAGCGAGCACTGGCACAAAACCCACCTTCCAGTGCCCTCCCTGGCAAACAGCCTGTCATGGACAGCAGCCTAATGGTGAAAATGACATCTGCGAACTTTATTTTTAGTGGCGTGTTCATTTGTAGCTACAAAAAATTCTGCTGTGCCTTTCCTGCCATCAGTTTGGGATTACCTTTTTTCCCCTAAAGATCAGCCTCATGTTTTAGGTAGAAAAATTGCAAATTCAGAGTAATATTTGTTGACATCTCATTTCCAACCCCACCACTGGGGGGAAAAAAGAGGTAAAATGAAACCAGACTGCCCTTCCCTTTCCCCTCAAATACACCACTTGGGCTGATTGTGTGATTTTGAAGATTTCGGTCTTGTAAGGAACTATTTGGATTACCAACAAGATGGCCAAGATGGAAATTCTTTAGGAGACTTGATTTGTGTAGTTTTAAGAACCTTTTTTTTTTTTAAGTATGTACAGTGGAAGGGGCTGCAAAAAGATTTTTTTTTCCCACTAAAGAAATACTTGTGACACTGGCAAGGAGAAACTAGCTCACCCCCACTGACAGTTCATCTCATCCCTTACCTTGACCAATCATGCACTGCCCTTGCTGTTCCCTTAGTAATGACTCCTGATCTGCCCACCACATGAGGGCAGATCCTTGCTGTGTGTGTGTGTGTGTGTCCGTGTGCCCGCCCTTGCACGTACGAAGCATATACTCTACCACTGAGCTATAGCTCAGCCCTTGGACAGCATTTTTGATGATAGGAGCCAAACAACTTGACTTGGTTGCATGCCAGCTCTGACAGGACTGTGCCAGGTTGAGGACAGGTTTATACTTCTGCCTTTACAACTTGCCACCTCATTTACAGTCTTCTGCTCTCTCACTGATGCTCCTGGATGTGCCTTTTATTGTCAGATAGACATGTATATTTTTAGAACACAATTCTTGGAACACAACAGATAAATATGTACTAGATTTTAAGAGACTTGGTGAACTGCAGAGTTATAGTAAAGCCTTCAATAACAGTCTCTATTCTCAGTCTTTCTTTTGTGAATTGCCTAACACGGTACATTTTTCCTTTTGTTCCTTAGAGCATCTTCAAGAAAGCAATGGACATTTGATTTCTGAGACCAAAGGTCTTGGTAACCTACAGGAAGCATCACAGAGACCACAGAATCCTTCCGGAGAATACTGGGACAGTGCAAGACAGCATGCTCCCTCTAGACAGATCCCAGACACACAGTCTCCAGCTACCTCTGAGATTGCTAACTCCAGGGGTTACTCTCAAGTTTCAAGAAATAAAAGCCTTGAATCTCACAGAGGAGAACAGAAATTCCAAAAAGAACATGACACACCCACTAAAGCAGCTATATCATCTGCAGAGAAGTTGMCTTCTAGCAACCTGCTCATGGACAGAGCTACAGAAGTGAGTCTTGCACAGTTGAACAGTCAGGACCTTACTGACCATGAGGACTGGGAAATGGTGTCTAGGCACTCATCTTGGGGAGATGTGGGTTTGGGTGGTAGTCTTGAGGCCTCAATGGACAGTGGCAGAAGCACTCGTGTGGAGGCAAGAGGTTGGGAAGTGAATGGGAAAGCAAAAAAGGTTGCAACGATGGCTTCAGAGTCTCGGCAAGTTAACATCAGGTTTCAGGTGCATTACATCACGGGCACTGATAGTCAATTCATCGCAATAACTGGAGACCATGAGAATCTTGGGAGGTGGAATACTTACATCCCTCTCCACTATCACCAGGATGGGTTTTGGTCTCATTCTGTTTTCCTGCCAGCAGATACAGTGGTGGAGTGGAAGTTTGTGTTGGTAGAGAATGGGGGAGTTACTCGCTGGGAAGAATGCAGCAATAGACTCTTAGAGACTGGTCATGAGGATAAAGTGGTTCAGGGCTTGTGGGGGATTCACTGATTCTGCCTGCCAAATAACAGGCTGTAGCAGAATGTAGAAAAGGCTGAGGCTCTGGAGCACACTGAATAATTTAAAATAAAGGCAGTGTGACTCCAAATTTAGCCATCAGAGCTGTTTTGAATTCACTAGTGGCTTTTGTCTGATGTCCGAAATATATATATGCAGATAATGTTTCCAGTGAGCATGGACTTTTTTTCTCCTGTGGCTTGGGTTGACTGACCTGTGCTGATAAATCATTACCTTGGGGCTTGGCCTTGGGGTGGGGGTTGACTTAGCTAAACTTCAGGTGTGGACTGTGGTCAGGAAGCACAGACACTAACCAGCTCCACTGATTCAAGCTTGAGCTTTTACAGGCGCTCTGGAGACCAAGGCAATAAACGAGTCTCTTTGGAAACAGCTGAAGAAACTCTCTTCACACATTTTACATTTAAAATAGTTAACTCCATATGGAATTGTGACCAGAAAAATGTCTGGTCACTATGTGTGATTAGTAAGGATTCTGAGACTCCCCAGGGTTTTTGTCTGATTTTTGCCTGCCAGGTGTGGATTTGAAGTCTTTGTCTTAATGATCAGAGTCTACCCTCAAGGTAGTCAGGCGTGGGAACATCCTCATGAGAAAGGGAATATAAATGAAGTTCAGATGCAGGCTGAGTGAGGGGGCCTGAGGTGAGGGATACCTCCTAGAGGACCAGGAGGTCCAGGTTCAGCCTGGCTGACCCATCACTTACTGTGGGAGCCCCTTAGGACCATCTCCCTGCTCAGTGCTGCCCTCTCTCACCAGGTCTCAACAGATGGACTTTCCCATTGCAGCTGTTTCCATCCCTCGCCCCCTTCCCACTCCTTTCATCCCAGTAGTATCTCAGGTGACAAATTTTACCCAGGTCAGTGAGACAAAAGTATATCTTTGCTCTGAAAGGAAACATTTAAGCTTTAAGTTATTGTATCTGAATAAAGAATAAAATTTGAATTTTAATATCCTTATTAAATGTCTGAATTACTTGTCTAATTCTTAGTACCATAATAGCATACATGTAAAATAAAATACTAATATTTTCTTCAACTAATAAGAGACACATTTAAAAAAATCAAATTAAGTATGAAGAGTCTGTTTTTCTCCTCTCTTTGGAGAAAAAGTTTAAAATATTTCTTTTAAAACTTTTGCTTGGAGGGAAATTCAGCATGCCTGTACTTGAAAATGAATTCTTATATGTTAAATGACTTTTAGTAAGTGTAACATCTAGTGGTGAAACAATGTTTAATCCTAGTAAAACTCTTTGCTGAAAAGAACATAAACCCAACAGAAAGTAGCAATAGAAAGTGCTAAACAGAGCTGTTTGACAGTTTGGGGCTCATAGTACTATATGTTAAATTCATATATACTGCTTACATACTTGATAACAAATTTTGTATTATACCAGTGAGGTTTGCAGAAGGCATTTATCATTAATGCACATAATCAAGCATTCCTATAAGGTAAAATTAAAGGTAAAACACTTTAAATAAAAATAGTTTTAGAATTCTGTCAGCCATTTTATTATCTGATGAAATAAAAATCTTTCACTAAAGCCAACAGACTTAAGAGATTAACATAGACTATTAAACTTTGTTTAAAAAAATCATTTAAAATGGGATGTGGCAATAGGATTTTGAGTCCTCCTCAGCCCATTTGCACTGAGAGTGGCAATAGGGTGTTGAGAGCATGCGCGTCCTCAGCCCATTTGCTGAACCCTGCGAGCTGTGTTCCCAGACTATCATGGAAGGCAGCAACACCAGATGCCCAGTTCTTGTCCCTGTACCAGTTAGTGGGTCTCAGCAGCACGGCTGCTCTCTTCCTTGCAGAGTAAATCACCCAGGCTCCCTTTTGCCCTATGGTGCTAATATCCATGAGGACTCTTCCCGTCCTCTGCCTCCAGCTGTGGGAGGAAAATAAAGCAAGGAAAAGTGCATATAACACTTTTGGCTTGAAAGTGCCACATAGTATTCTTCCCACTTTCCATTCTATTAGTGAGAGCTGGTCAGGTGACCACAACTAGATGTGAAGGAGGTGGAACTGGAAAATAGACTGTCTGCTAGACAACTGTTCTCTATGGGGAAACAGGGCACAGTTTTTTGAACAGTTAGCCTTCTGCCAAGTTGTCCCTGATGTTTTGGCACAAATGAAACATGTTTATTTCTGTTCTTGTCTCATTGTATTTGATACACAAGCAAACCCTCCTAATTTATTAAATTCTAATTAAGGCAAGACTGAATTATTTCAACCTAGAAGTTTCTACTCACTTGATGAAGAGTAACAAAAATATTTTCTTTAGTAATTAATAAAGACTTCTGAAAGTTTTGACTAAGGGCCCCAAAGTTTTGCTATCTGATTACCTTCACTTATATTGACAGGACAAACAGTAAGTTCAGAGTCACAAAAGAAGGCCCTGCTGGAGTTTGTCCTGTCCTTGGCATTATGCCACTTCATTTCCACATGAAATCACATTTTACCCCAGGCATTTTTTAAGCTAAAAAAAGAAAAAACCCTAATGTCTTAGAGCCAGTAAAGATAACAAAACACACACAGTTATTCYAGTACACTGGAACTAGCACAAATGAACACGTCATAATATATGAATACTTTCAAATATAGCTAGTATTGTCTGAAGTTTTCTTGTGAGAGCACTCAAGAATAGTTTGATTCAAAGTAGATTTTTACAGGACAGGTATCTTTTATTAAATTTTCACATAAAAAGAAAAAAGCACACAGGGCACTAATTAAAGTAACAGCACAATTAATTGGGCATCATCCCTCTGTAAAGAATAGGCAAGCAATGTGTCATTTCAGTAACATTTTTTCCTGGTCTTTCACTTTTTGTATCCTCTTTTCTTGATTTCTGATCATTGAAGACATTGCTGAAAATGTTGATAAAACAAAGTTAGAATAAGAAAATCTACTTAGGTTTTAAATTATGTACTTCTTTAAAGATTCACTTTTTAACAGTATAGAATTAAGAAATTATGAAAATTTGCAATGGAGCATATTTTTTGAAAGGTAGAGTTATGGAACAGAAAAGCATGAAACATGATAGTTCTCCCATATCCATGTTATTTAGCAAGAGCTGCCCATCATCTGTAGAGTGTAGTAGTTTCCTCATTCAAATGGCTTTAGATTTTTACAAGTGGATTAACTTTTTATTTTGTGATTCATTCATTGGGTGACATAGTCTCTTATAGCTCTAAACTAATTTAAATTATGACTAAATAACATTATTTTGTTTTCTGGCTATGAACTCTAATTCTATTTTGGCTACCATTATACAAGTGTCTGTTTATAGAAAAAATAGGCAAGAAAGACAGTGTACRGGAAAGTTCACATGAAAAACCTCTCAACCCTATTGAGGGTCGGTCAGCAGAATTGTCATCCCTATCAGGTAAGAGTAGGGTGGAGCAGGACCAAGATCAGACAATTAATGTAGGGGTTGGTCATGGCTGAGATGCTCAAATGTTGAATAAAGTTTCTAAATTGCTAATTCAATACCTTTTAATGGCTCTATAGCTAGGAGAATTAATCTGAAAGGAAGGCAAAGATTCTTTTTATTTTTTTTTAAACCAGAGATTTATACCCAGGGGTGCTTAACATCCTTGGTCCTTTATTTATTTTTTATATTGAGACAGGGTTTCACTAAGATGCTTAGGGTCTCACTAAATTGCTGAGTCTGGCTTCAAACTTGTGATCCTCCTGTTTTAGCCTCATGAGCTGCTGGGATTACAGGTGTGTGTCACCATGCCTAGTGAAGGTAAGTACTCTTAGGAACAAAAACTCTCCCCAAATAAGCAATGTACCTTGGTTCTTCAGCTGCAAATCTTCTACCAGGGTTTGCAAGCTTTCCAATCTGTTCTGAAGTTTTCTGCATGTTTTTCCTGTTGTTTCTAGTGGGGGAGACTGTGAATCTATTAGAAAATTGCTTAAATGTGATATCTAAAGTATATTTGCAATTTCAGGTTAAACGACTTCTCCTTAAAAATAAAGAAAACTTTAAAACACTTTTAAGATAAGGAAATTGTCTCCTATCTAAATATCACAATGCTAGTCTGTTTGATTTTGTTTCCAATCTTCACTATTATTTAACTACATAGTATTAAATGGGATGGGTGAGAATACTTCAAGTTTAATTAATGACATACTCTGCATTGTAAATGACAGCTTTTCATGCCACACCTGACTAGGTCCATTAACTTAGGGCTTGGGGAAGCAAGATCTAATTCAGACACTGGTGCTGCTTTCAAATATATGTGAGGCCACTGCCCATCCATTAGTTGTCACCTGAATGAGAATAGTATTGACATCATGGGAGAGGGTCAGGTGGGTGCTTCCACGTCTTCAGTGACCTACAATAAAAGTGGCAATAGCAACTGAAAAGCACCCTGAGGCACCAAAGCTATTCTCCAATAAACATGCTAAGTCCTGTCTATCTCTAAAGATACCTGATTAGCAAGCTGAGTAATTTAATCCTTTTTTATTTTTCTTTTGTAGTGCTTGGGATTGAAYTTAGGACCTTACACATGCTAGACAAGTGCTCTACCACTAAGCTATATCCCCCATCCCTAAAGATTCTACTTTGATCTTAGCCCCTAACTAGCTGTATAATCTTCATAAAATTATTTGCTGGCTCATCTTGCTATTAAAAAGCACCTTTTTTCATTACAGATATTAGAATTAAAGACAATCATMTAGTTATTATTTTAATTCAAGAGGATGAGAAACAATTTCTGGAGAGGTTTCTGACATTAATGCTATGAAACATGATGTTTCCTGATTAACTAACAACAGGGAAAAAAATGCCAAGTTATCATGTAACATAAATTAACAAAGTGATAAGCTTTCCTATAATAATCACTGCTCTAACAGATAAATAATTTGATACTTTAAATTTGGGGGGAGGAGGAGTACCAGGAATTGAACCCAGGGTGCTTAAGCACTGAACCATATCCCCAGATCGTTTTATATTTATTTATTTTTTGGGTACCAGGGATTGAACTCAGGAGCACTCGGCCACTGAGCTATATCCACAGCCCTATTTTGTGTTTTATTTAGAGACAGGGTCTCACTAAGTTGCTTAGTGCCTCACTTTTGCTGAAGCTGGCTTTGAACTTGAGATTCTCCTGTCTCAGCCTCCGGAGCCCCAGCCTCCCGAGCCCCAGTCACTGGGATTACAGGAGTATACCACTGAGCCCAGCTCTGTTTTACTTTTTTTTGGGCAGGGAATCACTAAGTTGCTTAGGGCCTCACTTAATTTTTGAGACTGGTTTTGAACTTGTGATCTTCCTGCCTCACCTCCTTGAGATAGGGATTTAGGATATATAGAGAGAAATATGGAATCTTAAGGGAAATATCCTCAAGCCATTGAAATGCAGAGTCAAGCCACTGAGCTGCAGAAAACACAGTTGTAAACCTTGGCCCACACCCTTATAAAATGAGGGAAATATACAAGCACAGGAAAACTGTGTGAAATTGTGTGGTTCTATCCTATACCCACCTCCAGTTTGGCCTCTGATACAGCTCTTCTATAAATATTGGGCCCCTTGTCTGAGTTTGGGCTGCTTCTCACTCTTGAGACAGCCGCATTGTCCTTTGAATGAGTACTACCTTCCTAAAAAAACTTCTGTCTATGCCTTTGTCTGGCTTGTGCTGAGAATCTTTTCTATCATGTATGCCAAGTACCCCACTGGTCTTGAGTTGAGTTCCCCCTCTCTAGAAACTCCTCCTACCCTTCTTCAGAGTCATCTCTTCTGTGACATCTCTTGGCCCCTGAGGATGGGGCTTCTTGACTATGACTTATTTGCTTAGTTCCTGTACCTGTAACCTATTTCTATCTGCCTCTCCCTCCTTCCCTTCCTCCCTCTCTCTCTCTTACCCCCCCCCCCTGTTTCTACTTTCAAAGACCAGAGAGCACAATCTCCATATGCCTCATTTGTCCTGGGCTCCCCTTCTTAGGTGGCTGGGAAAGCTCCATGCCCAGTAGATTCAAATGTCAATAAGGTGGCGGCTGATGTGGTCTTAGGGATCTAGTAAATCTTTGAACTTTAAAACTACAAAGGAGCTCAGTGATCCTCTTAAAGCCCTTTCTTGCTCTTATGCTGCACAGTGGGCATCATATAGGTTTCTTAGCTTCTGTGGGACTTAAACAGGTAATGTTCTTATTCTTTCTCTTCTTCCTTTCCTTGGTCAAAAGTCTGTTTGTCTCTTAAGAAGATGAGTGCTTGTTTATAAAAACATTGAAGATAGGAGAGTCCCTTAGGCCAGCGTACCCTTTTCTTGAGTCAAAGGGAACTTGAAATGCTTCCTAAAATGAATATGAGAGATTGTCTCCCAGCTCGAGCATCCCTTTGTTTTGCCAAACATGGGGTTCACCCAAAACACATTGTTAAAGGCCTTGATGTAACAATCAAGGAAACTACTCCCTACTAAACACCACATTTAGACCCAGTACACTTAGTGGCAAATCCAACTCTAAGCTTGTGCCATAAATCTCTTGACCCCAAGTTTCAGCTAAAACTGAAGGAATATCTTGTTCTTGGCCTGTCTTTCCTCACTCCCTTTTCTCAACTTTCTTTGCAGTCTCACTTTAAGTGCCCCAGCTAAGTTACTCAATACTAAGGACTATCATTCTCACTGTTGGGGAGACAGGGGACTAAAAAGGTGGTGCAAACTGTGCTCTGGTCATGATTTATGTGTGGCCTTGAGAGAGAACAGTTTCTTAGGCATACAGGCATGATCCCATTCCTATGGTCAGTGAGCCAAAGGACAGATACCTTAGCTGAAGGTGGCAAATGGGAAATAGCTAATGTCACTTCCCCCTTACTTAGGAATAGGGGGAGTCAGCTTTTAAATAAGTAATAGTTGTCAGAACAGTGAGAGTTATGTTCAAAACAAAGTGGACCCCAATTATATGAACAGATTTCTAATTAAAACTTATCTGACTGTATCCTATCCCAAAGTGCCTCTAAGCTCTCTACAGGGTTTTGTGTCTTCTCTATTATTTTAAATAACAAGAAATTGCAAATTATTGAATGTACCTAGATTACTTGAGATCTTAGGAATGTTCTTTTTAGGGCTTTTTTCTTATTTCTTTTCTTGAAACTTAGGTAGAGGCTATCAAACACCCTGAAAACTTCATGATGGGGCCAAAGACGCTCATATGATTGACAATTTGCAGACAATTTGGAACAGACTTACAGGTCTGATCCCAGCTGGGGACTTCAAAAGTACCCTGGAAGCTATGTTGTTGGACAGATTGGAAAGTCTGATCCTGATGAGGACGCAGAGTGGAACCCAAAGATGGAAAAGACTTAGAGTACCCCAGGACTGTGTTTTCTTTTCAGAAAGCACATTGAAGCGCTCTCTTCAGCAGCACATATACTAAAATTGGAACAACACAGAGAAGGTTAGCATGGCCTCTGCACAAGGATGGCATGCAAATTCGTGGAGCGCTCTGTATTTTTAAGTACAAGAGGCTTACAGGATATCAAATGTACAAAATCACAACAGATCTACACCAAGGCACATTATAATGAAAATGCCTAGCATACAGAATAAGGAGAGAATTTTAAAACCAACAAGTGAAAGGAATCAGATTATATATAGGGGGAAACCAATTAGTATCTCTTCAGATTTCTCAACCCAGACCCTCAAATCTAAAAGATCCTGGAATAACATATACCAAGTTCTGAAAGAAAGTGGATGCCAACCAAGAATCTCATCTCCAGCAAAATTAAGCTTCAGATTTGATGACAAAAACCTTCCATGATAAACAAAAGTTAAAAGAATTTACAACAAGAAAGTCTGCACTATAGAACATCCTCAGCAAAATATTCCATGAGGAAGAAATAAAAAAACAACAATGAAAATCAGCAAAGAGAGGTATCACACTAAAGGAAAAACCAATCAAAGGAGAAACCAAGTCAAGTTAAAAACCAAAAATAGACCAAAATAACCAGGAATACAAACCATGTCTCAATAATAACCCTAAATGTTAATGGCCTGAACTCATCAATTAAGAGATGGACTGGCAGGTGGGATTAAAAAAAAAAAGACCCAACAATATGCTGGGTCTCATCTCATAGGAAAAGACATTCACAGACTGAAGGCAAAAGGTTGGGAAAAAACATATCACTCACATGGACTGTGTAAATAAGCAGAGTTTTATATTCTCACATCAAATAAAGTAGACTTCAAGCCAAAGTTACTCAAGAGAGATAATGAAGGACATTTTATACTGCTTAAGGGAACCATACATCAACAAGACATACAATTATAAATATATATGTCCCAAACAATGGAGCATCTATGTTCATCATACAAACTCTTCTCAAGTTCAAGAGTCAAATAGACCACAACACAATAATACTGGGTGACTTTAACACACCTCTTTCACCACTGTATAGATCTTCCAAACAAAAGCTAAACAAAGWAACTATAGAACTCAATAATATAGTCAATAATTAGACTTAACATACATATAAAGAATATTTTATTCCTCAACGAGTAAATACACTTTCTTCTCAGCAGCACATGGATCCTTCTCTAAAACAGGCCATTTATTATGCCACAAATCAACTCTTAGCAAATACAAAAACGTAGAGATACTACCTTGCATTCTATCAGATCACAATGGAATGAAATTAGAAATCAATGATAAAAATAGAAGCTAATCTAACACCTGGAGACTAAATAATATGCTATTGAATAACAATGGATTGCAGAAGACATCAGAGAAGAGATTAAAAATTTTTAGAGGTAAATGAGAACACTGATACAACATATCAAAATCTCTGGGATACTATGAAGGTACTACTAAGAGGAAAGGTCATTGCATGGAGTTCATTCCTTAAAAGAAGAAAAAGTCAACAAATAAATGACCTAACATTACAACTCAAAGCCCTAGAAAAAGAAGAACAAATCAACACCAAAAGTAGTAGAAGACAGGAAATAATTAAAATCAGAGCTGAAATCAATAAAATTGAAACAAAAGAAACAATTGAAAAAAATGGACAAAACGAAAAGTTGGTTATTTGAAAGAATAAATAAAATTGACAAATTCTTCGCCATTCTAACRAAGAGAAGGAGAGAGAAAACTCAAAATTACTAAAATCCATGACAAAAAAAGGACACTACAGAAATACAGAAGATAATTAGACACTATTTTGAAAATTTGCACGCCAATAAAATAGAAAATATCAAAGACATCGACAAATTTCTAGAGTCAAATGATTTACCCAAACTGAATCAGAATGATATACACAAGTTAAACAGATAACTTTCAAGCTATGAAACAGAAGATGCCATCAAAAGCCTACCAATGGGGCTGGGGATGTGGCTCAAGTGGTAGCACGCTCGCCTGGCATGCATGTGGCCCACGTTCGATCCTCAGCACCACATACAAAGAAAGATGTTGTGTCCGCCGAGAACTAAAAAATAAATATTAAAAAATTCTTTCTCTCTCTCTCAAAAAAAAAAAAAGCCTACCAACCAAGAAAAGCCCAGGAACAGATAGATTCACAGCTGAGCTTTACAAGACTTCCAAAGAATACCAGTACTCCTCAAATTATTCCATGAATAATTTGAAAAAAAGGGAATACTTCCAAACTCATTCTATGAGACCAATTTCACCCTGATTCCAAAGCCAGATAAAGACACACTAAGGAAACAAAACTTTAGACCAATATCTCTAATGAACATAGATGCAAAAATWCTCAATAAAATTCTAGCAAATGTAATACAAAAACATATTAAAAACATAGTGCACCATGATCAAGTGGGGTTCATCCCAGGGATGTAAGATTGGCTCAATATATGGAAGTCAATAAATGTAATTCATCACATCAATAGACTTAAAGATATGAATCATATGATCATCTCAATAAATGCAGAAAAAGCATTAGACAAAATATAGTGCTCTTTCATGTTCAAAACATTAGAAAAATTAGGGATAATAGGAACATATTTCAACATTTTAAAAGCTTTCTATGCTAAGCCCATGGCCAACATCATTCTAAATGGAGAATAATTGAAAGCATTCCCTCTAAAAACTGGAACAAGACAGTGATGCCCTCTTTCACCACTTCTATTTAATGTAGAACCTGAAACTCTAGCCAGAGCAATTAGACAGATGAAAGAAATTAAAAGATATAAATAGAAAAAGAAGAACTCAAACTATCACTATTTGCCAAAGACATGATTCTATACTTAGAGGATCTGAAAAATTCTGCCAGAAAAYGTCTAGGACTAATAAATGAATTCAGCAAAGTAGCAGGATATAAAATCAACACCCATAAATCAAATGCATTTCTATACATCAGTGATGAATCCTCTGAAAGAAAAATTAGGAAAACTACCCCCTTTACAATAGACTAAAAAAAAAATTGGGGAAATCAACTTGATGAAAGTGGTGAAAGACCTCTACAATGAAAACTTCAGAATGCTACAGAAAGAAATTAAAGAAGACCTTATAAGATGGAAAGATCTCCTTTCTTCTTGGATAGGCAGAATTAATATTGTCAAAATGACTGTACTACCAAAAGCACTATACAGATTTAATGCAATTCCAATCAAAATCCCAATAAATTCCTTATAGGAATAGAAAAAGCAGTCATGAAATTCAACCAACCAATCTGCAAAGAGACCCAGAATATCTAAAGCAATCCTTAGCAAGAAGAGTTAAGTAGGTGGCATCGTTATACCAGACCTTCAACTATCCTACAGARCAACAGTAACAAAACCAGTATGGTACTGGCACCAAAATAGACTGGTAGACCAATGAAGAATAGAAGACACAGAGACTAACACACATAATTGCAGTTGTCTCATACTAGACAAATGTGCCCAAAACATATATTGGAGAAAAAATAGCCTCTTCAAAAAATGGTGCTTGGAAAACTGGAAATCCACATGCAGCAAAATGAAATTAAGCCCCTATCTCTCACCACACACAAAACTCAACTCAAAGTGGATCAAGGACTTAGGAATTAGACCAGAGACCCTGCACCTTATAGGAGAAAAAGTAGGCCCTGACTTCCTTAACAAGACTCCCAAAGTGCAAGAAATAAAATCAAGAGTCAATAAATGGAATGGATTCAAACTGAAAAGCTTCTTCTTAGCAAAAGAGAGAGCCTAAGAGTGGGAGCAAATTTTTACCACACACACATCAAATAGAGCACTAATCTCCAGGATATATAAAGAACTCAAAACACTTAACACCAAAGAAACAAATAATACAATCAATAAATTGGCTAAGGGGGACCAAGGTTGTGGCTCAGTGGTAGAGCACTTGCCTAGCATGTGTGAGGCACTGGTTTCGATCCCTGGCACCACATTAAAAATAAAGAAATAAAATAAAAGTATTGTGTCCATCTACAACCAAAAAAATATTTAAAAAAATAATTTAAAAATTGGGCTAAGGAATTGAACAGATACTTCTCAGAAAAAGATATACAATCAATCAACAAATATATGAAAAAATGTTCAACATCTCTAGCAATTAGAGAAATGCAAATCAAAACTATTCTAAGATTTCATCTCATTCCAGTCAGAATGGCAATTATTAAGAAAACAAGCAACAATAATTGTTGGCAAGGTTGTGGGACAAAAGGCACTCTTTTACTTTGCTGGTGGGACTGCAGATTGGTGCAACCAATCTGGAAAGCAGTATGGAGATTCCTTAGAAAACTTGGAATGGAACCACCATTTGACCCAGCTATCCCAGTCCTTAGCTGATACACAAAGGACTTAAAAACAGCATACTACAGGAACACAGCTACATCAATTTTTATAGCAGCACAATTCACAATAGCTAAATTGTGGAACCAACCTAATGCCCTTCAGTAGATGAATAGATACAGAAACTGTGATACATGTGTGTGTGACACACACACACACACACACACACACAATGGAATATTACTCAGCATTAAAAGAGAATAAAATCATGGCATTTGCAGGTAAATGGATGGAGTTGGAGAATATTATGCTAAGTGACGTTAGCCAATCCCCCCAAAACCAAAGACTGAATGTTTTCTCTGATAAGTGAATGCTGATCTATAATGGGGGAAGGGTGGGAGCATGGGAGAAATGGAAGAACTTTGGATAGGAAAAAGGGGAGGGAGGGGAACGGAGAGAGACCGACCGGGTATAGGAAAGATAGTAGAAGGAGATGGACATCATTACCCTAGGTACATGTATGAAGAAATGAATGGTGTCACTCTACTTTATGTACAACCAGAGAAATGAAATATTGTGCTCCATTTGTGTACTATGAATTGAAATGCATTTTGCTGTCATGTATAACAAATTACAAAAAATTAATTAATTAATTAATTAAAAAAAGAATCATAAGGGATGAAGGAAGACACAAATACAAAAAGAAGTGAATAAAAAGTGTACTAAGATGTGATTAGGTTCTGATTTTCATTTTTTTAGGATCTAGAAATGTGCATTGCATAGAATT